GTGTGAGTTTCAGATTGATTTCGTAAATAATTGTGAAGGTAGGGACTACTCGGTAAATTTTTGGGAGGTAGTTTGAAAATATTTTCGAGGTTAGGGGCCAAATGGTAGCTTATGGACTCCATTTGAGAATAATTTGTAGAGGAGGGGAATGTTTGGTAACTTTTGGATCTAAAATGAAAAGAATTGTGGGAACAAGGGTAGGAAAAGTAAATTATGGGCCTTGGTTTGCAAAGATGTTTATGGGGAGGATCCAAACTTGTAAATTATTCAAAGGTTTTGATTGGAGCGGGATTTAAACCTGACGCCTTCATTCTTCCTATTACATTACCTTAACCCTAAACCTAGTTGATCAATAGCAGCCACCACTCCCTTCTTCTATTACCGACGCCGCATCACCGGTTTCACTCACCTCCACCATCTCCGACGTTGCCAAGTCCATGTTACTGCCACCGTGAAGCCGTAGTGAGCCGCCAAGCATGCTGAGCACCATCGGTGATGTTTACAGCCAATAGAAAACTGATTCAAGGCCGATGTTGGGGCCACTGTGCCTTTATTTTCTCTGGTAATGTCGTACCCTTATCTCTCCACTTCTTCAGCCGCCATGGCAGCTGGTGACTGGTGAATGGATGTTTGGATAGAAGAGGCATTGCTCGACGCTGCCACTGCCGTCAAGCAACTATTTCAGGCACTCCAATTGCCCTCCACCACACTTTTCCATTGCTGCCTCGCGAACCAACGTCAACCGTCGCCATTGTCGCCTGTGGTTGGTACCACTGCCATCTCCTGTCACCACCAGGTGGTGGCTGAATCTATTTGAAAGAATCTGGTGTGGCTGGGTGTGATATTTATTGTGTGTGTACGAGTGTCTTAATAGGTAAGGGGTTCTATGGTTGGAATTCGTGAGAAAAGCCACTGCCACCACCATGAGGTGCTGGCTGCCACCGTGTGTCGCCGTATGTGTGTTTATCTTAGTGAGTTGGTGTGTGTTTACTGGAGATTTAGCCTTGTAAAATGTAATTGGAAATGGAATAATGAAAAGAAATTGATAACCACCAGCTTAGGGTGGTGGCTGCCGCCACCGGCCGCCGTGTCGGGTGGCGGTGTGCTTGCCTCATTGAGTTTTATTCGTTTAGGGTGCTTGAAACCCTAATGGGCCTTTTAAGCCTAATGGACCCTAACTGACCCAATAAAACTCTAATGGGCTTAATGATATTCTAGTGGGCCTAATAGGCCCAATAAAGCCTTAATTGACCTAAAAGCCCAACAAATTGATAAACGGGCTAGTATTTGGGGTGGAAACCCTAATTAGGGTTTGGAAAACCCTAATGTCAATAAAACCTTAATTTTGAGAATTTATCGGGTCACACACACGGGAATTATTTAATAACTTGAAATATTAAATAATAATCATTAGCAGAAATTCAAAGCAATATTTGGACTTAGTGGATTAAGTCCTTAGTGGGTTAAGTCCTTAATGGGTTAAGTGAGAAGCACTTAACCCAATCGTCATTTTATGTGAAACCCTAATTTCTCGTGGGTTTATTGTTGGGCCTTTTATTGGGCCATGATGATTGGATTATTAATGAGCCATCAAAGATCAATTTAATGGGCTTTAGGGTAAGACCCATGTGAAGGTTTCGGCCCAATTTGGAAAATTGGGCCATAGATGAGCCATAATTGGGCCTTCATGATTATGCGATTTTAGGCTATTAGAATGTCGAATGTTGGACTGGACTAAATGGTTGGGCCTTATGGTAAGACCTTGTAAAGGTTTGGGCCCAATTTGGAAAATTGGGCAATATGTTGGGCTTTGATTCATAGTTGACTTTGGGCCTATGGATTGGGCCTTAGGCTTGAATAAAGCCAACCTTGGTGTAGTGTAGTAATTATCCAAGTATGTACTTATGGTTATGTGTTCGGACCCAATTATTAATTGGGTGCTATTTTGGTGTTGACAGTTCGAGAATCTGTCATCCATCAACTGGGGTTTAGTCTGCGGGACTTCAGCAATATGGGGTTATGTCTACGGGACTTCAGTAGTGTGAGGTGAGTTACCTTCCAGTAACGGTGGGTCTACGGCCATAATCCCGACCCACTAGTAGGATTTGTATGTTAGATGATTGTTTTTGTGATATTCATCTAGGTTTGATGTTACCTGTTATGTTTTATGTACTAGCATGTTATGATGTTATGTGATAGTGGTAGTAGGAGGTGAAATAGTCCCTGGTTACCGGTCGATAGGACCGAAGGGGGTAGTTTAGTACCCAACCATGCTATCCAGATTATGATATATGTGATATGATATTATGTGTTAGTAGTAGGGGTGAAATAGTCCCCGGTTACCGGTCGACAGGACCGAAGGGGTAGGCCAGCACCTAGATATGCTAGGCAGTATGTGATTTATGTTTATATGCTAGGGTTTATATGGTAGTGGTAGGGGTGAAATAGTCCCTGGTTACCAGTTGAAAGAAACCGAAGGGGAGGCCAGCTCCCGGTTACCGGTTGAAAGATACCGAAGGGGTTGGCCAGCACCCAGATATGCTAGGTAGTCAACGGTCGAGAGGACCAAAGTGGTAGGCCAGCACCCAAATATACTAGGCAAGGTCACCGGTTGAGAGGGCCGAAGGGGTAGGTCGGGCACCTAGATATGCCTGGTAGTATGTATGTTATATGTGTTTGTATGGTATGTGGTATGATGGGGGAACTCACTAAGCTTTGTGCTTACAATTTACAGTTTTGGTTTCAGGTACTCGTTTTCAAAGAAAAGGAACCGGCTTGATAGCAGCGCATCACACTATGTTTTCCGCACATGAGATCTTTGGTATTACACTCTGATATTATTTTATGATAAGATGTTTTGATTACTAACACTTTGGTTTTACACGAGATATTATTATGAATGTCTTTATACTGATGGTTTTTTGTAATAACTTATTTAAAAATGAAATATTTTGCCTTGAATTTTGGGATATTACATTGTCCCTGATTAGAAGAATACGGGAATGAGTACACGAGAGTTCTTGGGCGATGGCCTGGATCTGACACTCGTCCAGGTGGCAATCCTTAATCAGGTTGCTTTCTAGTTGACACTTCTATTACCCTTTGATGTATTCTTGGTGAGATATGTCAACAAGTCCACTAGGCTAGTAAATGCTAGCATTTTTTCGGCCTAGCTAAGTTATTCTAACGTGGATTTGGAACGTGTTTGGTGAGAATGGTTCATGACACATTTCTGATGTAATAGAGCCATTCTGGCCAGACAGTTTCTATCATCGGAACGGTTCGGTTCCATCGCTTCATGACTTATTTAAGGGTTCCCTATTTTTAGGAATAGTTACGTGCTTCATTTCTCTGTATATCAACTATCTCGTTCGTATTTGTCATTTTTTCTTTCTCCTATGCCTTTATTCTCTGATTCCCGATGGCTCTAACCAGATCTGGAATTTCCTCTACGCCTAAGGAGTTCGAGTCTCTTCAGTTCCGGTTTTGGTTTATGCCTAGGCATGCAGTCCAATTCTCGCTAGAAGGGTCTATGATTTATCAAACGCCGGCAGGGAAGGTTGGTGTTTCGGTGGTAATTTTTGAGGCCGGGTTTGATCTTCCTGTTTCAGACTTCTTCGACAAGGTTATGCAAGAATATGGTTTCTATATTCACGGCTTGACCCCAAATGTTGTGAACAAGATAGTTGGATTTGATTTGAGGTGTCGGGCATTAGTTGTCCTTCCCTAATTTCGAGAATTCCAATCTTTCTTCAATTCGTCTATCCATTCGGATGTTCACACCTTTTCCTAGCACTGTAGTACGCACACCTTTATAGTTAATCAGAAGGCAAAGAACTGACATGATCAATGGTTGTGGTTTAATGGTGGGTTAGTCGGACCTGGGTATTCTCAGGTGCCCTGTCTTCAGATCGGGTGCCCCAATTATCAGGAACCATTTTGTCGGTGGGTCGCGCGTTAAAATGGATTTGTAATAATGATGAGGATTGGCGAGATTCTGTGTTGACGGTGGCCGGAATGAGTGCTTCTTGGTGGTTGCATGGGATGATGCCTCAGTTTTTTGTAGAAGGTGAAGGTAAGCATTACCTTCACCTTTTTGTTTTATGTAAAATTTCTTTGCTGAAGTATAACAGCTTGCTTTGTTACTATTGTAGGTAATGAGAAGCTTTTATCTCTTGAACAAGTGTTGTAGGGAAATTTTAAAAGGGATCTTTAGTATCGTGAAGTCCATCTACCGGATACGCTCCTGGCTCCCACTGGAGTCGGTCGGGTTTTTATGACTGGTGCCCTAACTGTTGACCCCAAGGCGATGCTTATTTCTTTGGTCCAGCCTTGTCTAATGGGTTTCACAATGACCCCCCCCCCCCCGACCGAGGAACCAGGCGCGACTAGCAACCAAGTGTCTTCCAAACATTGGTCAGATGTTGTGAATGCTTCTCTTGCATAGTACATTGGCAACAACACCATTAGCATGCGTTTGCGTCAAAGGAACAACATCAATTATTTGCTTGCTAAGTCATATGTTATTGAAATTGCTGATGGTAACATTCCACAACAAACAGAGGTGGTAGATCTGCATCACTCGAGGGGGAGGTTTTGGCGCTTATTCCGACCCACCTCCTGTTTCGGGTGATGTCCACACAGAGGCTGATCCTTCTCCTTTGAGCACTCCTGGTGTATATCTTCCTAGGTGGAATATTACACATGGTTCCCTTCTATCAGAACAGGGCCCCACCCGTGAGTGGTGTTGGCACGCATTTCCTCCGGATACCTTGAAATCCCTTAATCTTCTTTCTTATTATCATATGATGAAAGATCTTCAGTATGCTGCTGCCCAGTTTTCTCCTTCCTTGGTAGCGATTGCCGGTTTTTTTTGTTATGTAGGGGATGATGTAGCGGAATTAGTTGCCGTCAAATCAGAACGTGACGAGCTTGCAGAGAAGTTTTGGCTTCTTAAGGAGGAGTAGCTCAAGTTCGATGAACGCCTCCTCGTACCGTGCATGGAGAAATCTGTTGTTGAGGATCAGGTGTCAAATCTGGATGCGGAGGTGAATCATTTATCCTAGCAGGTCTAGAATTTGTGCTCGGAGAACAAAGCATTAGCGGAGCGCTTGGAACTATGGGACGATCAGTTGGCGGTTGAGGTTTTGAGGAGGAAGATCTTAGAGGCTATTTTGGCTTGGTTCCTTCAAAAGGGGGTGGTTTGTGTGGTGGACCATGTTTTCGAGAGTAGTAAATTCACGCTTGGGATCCGACGAGTAAAGACCGCATGTGTGGTTGTTGGTATAAAGAGTGGGAAGCAGGTGGCATGAGGGTGGCTTGCTAGTGGTGGTCCCGACTTGTCTGAACAGAATGTTGTGGCATGATCTGTTGAAACAATGCAAGTTGCCATCATGGATTTTTTCAAGATGGAATTTGCATCATATCTTCATTTGAGCAAGCTCGGTCTCACTGACCTTCGCCAACTATGTTCCGAGGAAGAGGTACTTGCTTCAGAAGGTGGTGTCGAGGGCGCTGCCTTGGGTCATGCCATCCAGGGTTGATCTTTTTTATATCTTTTTGTGTATTTGTTGATGGTATTTGTTTTTTATGTATTTCCTGAAACATTTTTATATTTATCTCTATGGGGTCTTTAATGTTGTGTATTTAAGGACTGATTGGTTTTTCGTAATGTTCACCCATTTTCGTGAGTCTTTCTTTTTGTTTCGAAAGGCGCCTCCATAAAGATTGTTTTGCAGGCCGTGCTCTTGGCTCTTGGTTAAGTGGCCAATTGCCTCTCTTTTGTAGATGTTTAAAGTGAGTCGAGATCATCACCTCGAGACTCCCTGAACTTATGTATGTTAAATTGTGAGGGGAAGGTTAGGATCCGTTGAACCCTTCAAGTATATCTTGTTCAAGAGCCTGTAGGCTTTGTTGTTGTTTGAATTGACATGTTTACAAAGAGGGGTTATAATATTCTAATATTTATGGTTAAATGCATGTTAGCGGTTTGTTTTTCTCAAATGATGTGGTTATCAGTTGATATTGCCATCTTTTAAACACGCACAACTTTTTCTCTCTGTTTTTTTATATATACTCATATGTGCTCATGTTGGTACATAAAGTTGGTCACTGTTATTTTATTCAGGGTTCATGAAATTTTATTGACCGAAACATTTTGGTGAAAACTGAAATATAGTTGTGTCGTTGCTTAGACGAGGTGTGGTTCCTGGGCTAGCAGCCCAGGGGCCACTACATCCCCAATTTTTACGAATAAAAATGGCACAGGCTGTGCGCGTTCCATGTTCGAGATATCAGCCTCCCATATTGTGCTTCTAGTGTATATGCTCTATCCTGATGCGCCCCTACTACCTCGTATGGTCCTTCCCAGGCCACAGTTAGCTTGCCAGTGGCTCCAAGCAGCTAGATTCGTTCTTCCTTAGCACCTATTCTCCTATATTGAAGTTATTTACCCACACCCATTTGTTGTAAAAGTTTTATGCACGGGATTTGTAGGCCGCTTGTCATAGTTGGGCGGCTTCGCGTTTCTCGTCACGCATGTCTAGGTCTTGCTGGTGTTCTTCCTTGTTCGAGTTTGCATCGAAACCGGTTACCCGCAATGATTTGCTCAGAATCTCAAGTGGGAGCACCACCTATGTGCCGTATGTAAGGCTGAATGATGTCTCTCTCGTTCCTGACCTTGCGGTGGTACAGTACGACCACACTGTTGACAGTTCTTCCATCCATGTCTCCTTTGTTTTCATTAGGCGTGTCTTAAGTCCATTCATGATGGTTTGTTTGATATTTCGGTCTGACCGTTCACCTGGGGTGCGCAACTGAGGTAAAGTGACGATGGACCTGTTTCTCCTCACACCATTCTTTGAAGGGACTTCCCTCAAATTGGGTGCCGTTGTCTCTTATTAGGACTTTGGGAGTGCCGAACCTGGTTAGGATGTTCTTCCACATAAACCAGATCATCTGCTTGCTCGTGACTGTGGCTAAGGGCTCCGCTTCAATCCATTTCATGAAGTAATCAACTGCAACTTCAGTCCTCCTGGGGCGGTCGGGAATGGTCCTATGATGTCAATTCCCCATTGGTGAAAAGGCCATTGGATGCTAATGTTAGTTAGGATTGTTGTTGGCTAGTTCTAGAACGAGGCGAATACCTGGCATTTCGGGCATTTCTTGGTAACTTTAGTCACATCTCTGTATTCCAACTTATCAAATTCCTAAAAACACATGCATTTTGAAAATACATCAACGTAAAGTTAGTGAGCCGACAGGTTTTGACTGTGAGTAAAAAAGAGTACCTTTTCCAAAGTTGGAAAAGTATATAACATAGTTTGAAAATATTATTCTGATTCATACTTGTTTCTAACATATAGTGTGTGTGTGTATATATATATATATATATATATATATATATATATATATATATATATATATATATATATATATATCCTAGGTACAATATTTTACTTACTAAATACGTAGTATACCTATAAGTTTCATATACTATAAATATAAGAGTTTATAATCCCATACAAACGAAGGTTGCTACGTATAAATCTTGTTTCAATTCTGTACGAGTAAAAACTGCTACGCATAAATCTTATTTCACTTCTATACGAGTATGTGTGCTGTGTATAATTGTCTACTCAATGTACAAGTAGTATACCTACAAGTTTCTTGTACCTAGAGTATAATTGTTTAGGAAACTTATACTCAACATGCATGCTTGTATATCGACAAAGTATAATGCTTCTAAAATTGTGCTACCATGAGTCTGTAACTGCTGGTATATGACATAAAGACCTATGAATAAAAATTCCACCAATGGTTCCACCATTGGTGCCATAATAAAACTGCCATTGGTGCCATGAAGGATTCCACCAAGGAAAATACTTCCCCCGTGCGCTTCATCGATGCTGGGTCTAAAACAAAACAATCTATGGGATACTTTGTCACCCATAAACCGTTGGGTTGTTGCTAGCAACCATGGGTGGGGGTATCAACGCGTATAGATCTATAGTCCCATGTAAAACCGTTTGGGTTGTAGCTAGCAACCACAGATGTGGTGTTAAACCATATAGATCTATACACAAATTCTTTGCTCACACGGGATTAGCGGTTACAGGTCAGAGGATTTCTACTATGATTTCCAATATTAGTTGATGAATAAAATAACTCATGTAGACTTTGTCGAGTTCCTATAGTTCTGATAGTGAAAGCATATTCGTTTCTAAAACCCTAACTTATTAGAATATGCTTTTAAACACTAATCCTAATTTCATAATACATAGGTAGTACAACAACTATCACTTGAAGTAAAACCAGGTTTTGTCTAACATAAAACCAATAATAGCAACATACTTAACAAGTATATATAGAACTCTCGAATATAACTTCAAGGCTATATTAATAACATACCAGGTTTTAGCTAACATAAAACCAATAATAACAACATACTTAACAATTAGTATATAGAACCCCCGAGTATAACTCCCAGGCTATATCACACATAATATATGGCTATATCACACATAAGATATATAAAACTCCTGAGTATAACTTCGGATCTATATTAGTAAAATCTATAATAACAACATGCTAACAAGTTTAAGATAGTTGTATGATTTTAAAATATCAGATATATTCTCGGTATATATGATACAAAACAACTATATCCCGGTTAATATAACTACTTCTATTGATACGAATATACTATCATATACACATAATATTAATTTTATATAATATTTAGCATTCATTTTATCCCAAAAACATTAAAATGTGGGGCCGTGAAACTCACCCTAGTAGCATGATCTATAGAATCTAATGGAAATCGGTCTGCGGCTCATCTTTGTTAAGCTCGGGAAGGTGGTCTTCCAAACTCTGCCTCAACCCACAATTTCTTTGTTGAGGCCGTGAAACTTTGATCTAACATTTAGGCGTCTGGTCTAACGAACTCCGCCTCAACCCACAATTTCTTTGTTGAGGGACCCCATTTTTTATTTAAGTCAACAAAAAATAAAACTCAATAAAATCAGTTTGAATTAGACCTTATTTGCTACCTGTTCTAGATTAAGAATAAAATCTCGTGAAATACACACCAAAAAACAGTCCTATTTTTGACTTGCTGCATAAATCTTGATTTATTATCCACTATGAAGTTATAATTGAAACACCATTTTACAAAACTGATGAAGCAACAAATGAATTGGTGGTTTTGCTTGCCTAAAAAATAACTCCTCTTGTGGAATCGAGAAGAACCAAATCTCCATTGTAGGTGAGGTCGAAGTATGATTTATCTCCTACTCTTAAGTCGGTACCAACAACCCAAACAACTTCTTGTTTATCAATAGGTATTAAAATTGACTTTATATGTATCCCAATGCCATACTCATTTAAGCGATTATAAATCGAATTGCAAAATCCCCGTTTGGAGAAGCCTAATGATTCTTCGATTCCATAGATATCCTTGAACCCAATGGAATTTCTAAAAAACACAACTGGTAAAAGAACGAGAAGAACCAAAAAGATCGAACTGAGAGTAATAATTTCAGTATGTTTGTTTATGTGATAAAGATAAAGAGAAGAACTAGAAACGGGAAGTATATTAAATATAAGCTAGACCTAAACCAGGTCCATGGCAGTTATTTAGTTAGTTATATAGTTTATGGAAGTTATTTATATTAACCGGCTCCTTTGATTTGTTGTGTCGGTTCTGTAATGTACATATAAATTGTATTGTTCCGTGTTCAGAAAAGATTGATGATTATCTAATAAAGAAAGTATTTTATAGTTAAATATGTTGTCTATCTCTTCTCTTCAATTCTAACATATTGGTATCAGAGCCAGGCATGCATGGCGTCTAACATAAATAACATCCATCCACAATTTCCCAAACTTAACGGAAGAAATTACTACCACTGGAGTATACAATTAAAAGTCTTGTTTGAATCACTAGATCTATGGGATATCATCGAGGATGGTTTTGAAGATCCTCATGATGAGGACGAACTCACAGACGAACAAATGGAAGAAATAAAGAACAGCAAAAGAAGAGACAAAAAGGCACTCTTCTTGATTTTTCAAGTCGTGGATGAAACAATGTTTGAAAGAATATCTTCCTCAACCTCTTCTAAGAATGCCTGGGACACACTGCACAAAACCTATCGTGGAGAAGAAAGAGTAAAAATTGTCAGACTTCAGACTTTAAGATGCGAATTCGACAATATAAGAATGAAAGAGGCAGAATCTGTGGAAGAATATTATAACCGTGTTATCCTATTATTGAATCAATTACGTTTAAATGGCGAACATATAGACGACACAAGAGTAGTTGAAGAGATCATGAGAAGCCTTACCCGGAAGTTTGAGTATGTGGTCGTAGCCATTGAAGAATCGAAAGATCTCTCACTTCTGTCGTTAGAAAACTTGTTGGGTACCCTACAATCACATGAGTTACGAATGAATCAATTTGATTCACCTGCGATTGAACAAGCATTTCAACTGCAATCTTCAAATCAAGGAGGATTTTATAACAATCACAGAGACCCGG